AAGGACCCCGCTGCCGGTTAGTTTCGATTTTTCATTTTTTTCGTTCAATTGAGGCCACTTAACATGTTTTCTCGCAGGGATTGATGTAAAACCGACCGAATTCGATCTAAAATAGCCGACCTAAGGTAAATCACCGCGGCGAGGGGCAGCGCCGTTGCCGGAGTACGGCGGAGTTGCCGTGCTAGAATTTCAGAATTGGCCAAAAAGGGGTCCTCACACTGATTTTGGATTTTTAGGATATTTGCAGGTACTTGTAGCACGTTTTAATCTCCAAAAAAAAAATTCAGAGAACTCGGAGACTGCCAGTAGGCACAGTCAACAAGTTTAGGATTTCATGCATCAATTTGAGTAAAAATCCCTCACCCAATACTCTATTATGAAATCGAAGTCAAATTAACAATAATACGGTATGTTGTGCAATTTAAAAAATATCATAATTAATTACAAGTTACTAATGGAGCCAGAATCGAAAATTATTTACTGTTGATTTTGTTGATTGATTTTGTAGTTTGAATGCATGATAGTATTTGATTGATCGATTTTATAGTTTTGAATGCATGTATTGTTTGTTTTATGTGATTACGGTTGAATTGAAAAACTGTAGATTAAAGGTAAACAGAAAATTGTGTAATTAAGTGAATGGATGAATCGACAGCCTTACTGGATATCATGGGAGATGGTGGACGGACGGGGGTACATAGGAAACTCTAATGTGAACATTGCCTCATATCGGACGGGGTATCGAGGTTTGGTAATATGACACTCATACCAGACGGAGTATTGAGGTTTAGTTATTTGGCGCTCATACTAGACGGGGTATGGGGACAGCCCGTTAATTAAAAATTTTAAAAGAAAGGGTTCACGCATTATGAGGACATCACTATGAACCCCGATGGATACTAATAGACTGATAAAAGAGAAAATTATTATTCCAACCAATTGCATATGAAATCCTTAGATGTGTTATGTTATTATCTCTATAAGTTATTTTGTAAATCTCGTTACGGTAAGTAAACGGTAAATGATTTTATTTACGATAAACGATTTTGCTAAATTAAAAGCTCCATTAGTTGTTTTTATTATTTCTACAAATCTTCATTTCTGTGTCGGTGAGTAGCGTGATATTCTTACTGGGGTAGTGTAGCTCATTCATTTATTAACCATTTCAAATCAAGAGAACCAGGATCTAGAGTCCGATTCACAAGAGGGTTGCGAGTATGATGCCAATTCTATTTATTTTCTGGTTATTTCTTTAATTTCTTGTATTTCTCTCAAATGGTCATTCTCGTAGCCCTACTTGGTACTTTAAGTCATTATATAAGGAATGTAAACCCTAACTATTTATTTTGCTTTCGTACTTAATTTATAATATATTTCTTTTGAAATTTTCGGGGTCATTATAGTGAACATGATGGTCAAAGAATCGGATGAAACAGAAAACGGGAAGGAGGTCATTGGAGAGGGATTTAGATTTTCGCCGTGACGGCTCGGCTGGGCTTTGCCCGCGGTTTTCAGCTTATTCGCCACTTATTTTGCTCCGATATGGCCATAGGGAAGAAATATGGCCATTGGAGAGGGATTTGAATTCCGAGCGGGAGGAAATTTTTTTTTACCTTTTTTGGCAGTCGGTGGTGGCTCCAATGCGACGGTGGTTGTTAGCCTCTTTCTCCAGCGTCTGGTTCTTCTTCTCCAGCGAATGCTAGTGCGACTAGGGTTAGGGTTCCTTGAAATGCGATGTTTAAATCTCCTTCCCGTGTCGATCTGAGCTGTCCATTCAGGAACACGTGACCCTTTCTCATCCTTTGGATCTATCTTAATCGGAGAATGAATTTAGACCGCACGATCAAATTGAATCTGACTGTTTGATCCCGTCTAAAGAGAGATACATCTGGATCGTTCACACGTGCGGGATAAGATTTAGACTGTTGGATCGCTAGGCACGCGGATCGCTCGGAAGGCTTTTGCGTGGTGTCGATGTTAGCCGGGTTGTCACGCAGCGTGCCCTGGTTTGCCATGACTGCTGATCGAGCCGTCCCAAATGGCCAAACTTCTCCTTTTTGCGATTTAAACCCCTTATTTTCAGATTTTTCTTTCAAAAACACACATCGGATTAAAAATTTCGCCGCCTTTTTCCTAAAATTGCTTTTAATTTTTGTCAATAATTTATTTTAAAAAAATTTAATAAAATTAAAATAAAAAAAATAAAATAATTATTTATAAACATTTTTATAAATAAAAAATTTATCTCGGATCGATTTTCGACCCCGAGTATTACATAAAAGATTTAAAGTAAATAAAAAGTTTATAAACCATAATTATATATGACAAGTAATAATTAATAAAATATATAAAATAGATAATAATTCATTCCATATCGATTTATAATATAATTTTTTATTTTTTTTTTTAAAATTATAGTCTATTTGATCATAATGAGGACCAGACAAATTTTTAAATAAAAAAACATATCTTTATATATTTTATCCACATTGGAAGTATTAGAAAAGTGGATTTTACATAATAGAGTGGTATTATACAAAATATTTAATACTTTTTCTTGTCCATTATATATTTTGTAGTTATTTTTAAAATAGTTAAGTTATTACAGAGATATTTGAATAAATTGGGACTATGATAATTCCTTTGTACTAAGAAATATTGATTTAATGTAATTTTAATAAATAAATAATATGCATATTTTACTTTTTAATTATTAATTTTTTTATATTCATATAATCATCAATCTCTGCACGTAACGAGTTTACATGTAATTGAATTTATATAAAAATAATAATTACAGAGTATTTCTATAATTATTAATTTCTTATTTCATGCATTAAATAATGCAATTTTTTTCTTTTTCTATTTATCCTTTTTGGATATCACAAGCAATAAATAATAATCCACAAGGAGGATTTCCCATGTGAGCCGGATAAAATCAAGCCCATATCTATCCAAGTCAGTGACTCATCAGGGCTTTACCATTCTGATGGGCCCCACAATTGTCGACCCATTTTGTTATTCGCCTGTTCAATCTGCTACACCGAGCCTATAATAAAATCATCATCAAGCTGTCACAGCTCTTGATAAAACTGGTTTTAAAAGATCAAGACCGTCCAATTAATCCGAAAGGAACTAATTATCATACACCCCACTTTCAACTATAAAACAGTTGCTTTGCCGTGTATGGATTGAAATCGATACGACTGGTAATAGCTTTGCTGCTGCTTTTTTGTCGTGATTACCCTCTAAATTTACTGTAGAACGGCAAGTTCGTTTCAGTATAAATACATACATTCTTCATCTTGGTCTTCATCTTCTCGTTGAAACAGAGATCAGACCATGGAAACCAAAAACCTTGCTCGCTATCTCTCTATCTCTTTTCTCGTCTTGTTTCTTGTGAGCTTTCTTGATTCCGTACAGGGTCGTCCTATATCGATGCTGAGCGGTCCTGACCCCAAAGATGCCGCTTATACTGCTCGTTGGTTGGTCGCCCAGAATTCTTGGGGGGTCTTAAAGTATAATAGTCTCTTTCTTACTCTCTACCTTCGATTTTCTACTATTTTTATATTTTATCACTTTATTAAGTTGATTCCCTGATTCCGGCCTTTAATGGTGCTAAGTCTTGTTCCCGTCGGTTCTTCTCTATCCCAAATTGTAGAGAGGAGTGACTTTGTTTGACTCGTTTCTGCTTGTTAATTAACCATAATAGGGGAGATGATGGGCATATATGAGAATTCGAAGCTTACTGTTTATGAATTTGCAGTGAACAAAAGAACTGTTATTTATGAATTCCAAAACTGGATGATTGTGTTCTTGTTTCCTTTGGTGTCAGAGCTTGCATCTGTTACTTTTCTTGATGAGGGTTCTATGATTTATGTCCTGTAATTGTTGTTGCTTAGACGTACATTCCTTCTTGGTAGTGATTTGGTTGATAATATTACATTTCTCAATAGGGGATAATAGATGCCTTTGTTGGTGGAAAATATAAGCTGATATGCTATTGTGTTCTTGCAGTACCATATCAAGTGAGTTGGGAGGAGCTCCTTTTGGGTAATTTCTCCTTTCTTTCATTCTTATACTGTAAACATCCTTCTATTTTTATCATTATACCTCTGCCTTCTTATTGGGATTTGGCAATAGGAAATTATAACTTTTTACTAGACAAATGTTTACTTTGATAAATAATTAGTGGATAATCTCAACAAAATGGGAAAAACATTGTTGAGGAAATATATGTGAAACAAAGGATTTTAGCCGATGTCTGTCTTCAATTCGGATATAGTGCTGCTATGATTTTTTTTAAACAGAAAAAATAATTTTAAAAAATAAGAGCATTTAATGTTTCTGAAGTTCAATGTATGATTGAGGCACTCTCATTATTTTGGGCCTTTTGCATTTGCAGTTTGTGTGTTGCAGATTAGCATAAAGGTTAAATATGATTTGGATTTGGTTTTTATAGATTATGAATGTGAATAAAATACAAATATGACAAAGATTTGAATAAAGTAGTACTGTAATTTGACATGAATTTGATATCCAATTTAAGTTCGTTATTTTTGTAATTACTTTTTATAATTGAGATAACAAATCTATCATTGTGGAATCTAAGATACAAGTGAGGTTGATTTAGTCGTGCATCAAATATCAACTAATTACAATCTAGGAACAGAATTAGAGTATAATAAACTTGATCAAACTCAATGATATATATAAAGCTAAGTTCTCACTTGGAATCTTGTTTTCCCCCAAAATATGACAGGAAACAGATTAAATGGTAAGCAGTTTTTTTTTCTTTTCCTTTTTTTCCCTATATGGATGTATTAATTTTTTATTTGGATAAAGGTGAAAGAGAGTTATTTCTGCTTCCAGTAAGTAAGCTACTGCTTAGTTGTGTTTACTTCTCTTGTGTCTTCAACAAGACAACTCTATTAGTTCAAATCATGATTTTCTGCATCAGCATCTGATTACTAGTATTTATTTAATTTGTTGAGTCATTCTGAATTAGTAAAGTTATTTTTGGTTTAAATGCTATTTCTGTTATGTTATAAATGAGATAAAGCCAGAATAAGAACAGCATTCTATTCCATTTTCAATTCGAAGTTAGATGGGTTTTGGTTTCTACCTAGACAAGTCAAAGTCAGAAATCCAAGAAGTTGAAGTAAGAGGAGAGTTGATACAAACATGAGATAATTCATTTAACACATTAAGAGTATTCTAGTAATAAAGAAAAGAAATAGAAAAAGAATTTAACCAAATAGTTTGTAAAATTACCCGTTTAAAATTTCAATTTTGGGAATGAACATGATTCCCGATTATACATTTTTGCACTTCTTTTTCCTAGTCTTGGCTCCACTTAACAACAATTGTTAATTTGATATACAGGAATGTTGTTTCATTTAGTGATGGACCACCTAATGAAGGTAGTGGCATCCCATACTTCTATTTGACAGCTCTTGATCCAACTGCAAGAAATGCACTAGTAGACAAGAGGTCTTCTCTCACGATTAGCGAGTATCCTCTTGGAACTTGTGGCAAAATTGATCCTGAGAACCCCACCTGTGCAAAAATTACCCTCACAGGAAAGGTATGATGGAAAAGAAAGTATTTATGGCATAATATGTTGGTTTTTAATATTGTTATTAGTCTGTATTTGTAGTTTGAGTACATTCGTGTACTTTCTTGGCACAAAATGAATTTTACTTTTGCTTCTTATATGTCATGCAACATGTAGTTATATCAATAACGCTAGTTTCAGTGGGACAAAAGGCCAAATGATCCACAGATTTTGTTTTTACATTAAAAAGAAGATTTATTAGAAAAGAAGATACTGGATGCTAGATCCATAAATAATGTTTTTATATTGGGATTCAATTTTATACTCGCTGTTTAATCATGTATGATATAACTATTGTTGGTAATTCAGCATAAAGGAATAACCTCTACTAGACAGATGCATTTTCATGATTTTTAACCTCGTTCTTTAATTGTTACCTCTTGATCTTGGGGTGACCTGCACATGAAATTAATCATTGATGATAATCATATTTGGAGGTTTTTTTTAAGGTTGATAAAATGGGGCTTAATGTTTGATGTAAACCAAACCATTTGTCATAAAGGTAGTATTTTGTGTTTGCTCACAGGAATATTATAATTTTTTCCCTTTGATATTCGTAGAAACATTAACTTGCATAAAAAAACTAATTGATCCCTAATATTTAAGATAGGTTAGGTCCTGAACAAAATGAAAATATAACTGGAATGATGATTGACACGGGAAGAAAAACCATCAGAAAGTTCAGAGAACAAGGATTTTGTGCTGCTTAGGCACATAGGCAAGTGGATGGGAAAGTTAGGATTGCTAGTACTAGCCCAGATATCCCTTTGCAATAGAGTGGGCTATAGATAGCATTCTCTTTGGTGCTTTATGGGAGATCTTGAACCTGAACGTAATCTAAATAAGGAGGAAAACTTTATTGTTCAGTTGTTTTGTTTACTAATGATTTGGACTAATGCTGGATATGTTTTGGACTTTTTGGTGTATTAGTTGTTGGTAGTCGATGGAAAGTCAGAGGAAGCAGAAGTTGCTAGACATGCCTTGTTCTCAAAGCATCCAGAGATGGAGGGTAATGCATATAAATTTACACCACCAGTGACTGGAATAGATGTCCCTTCTGTTTTCATTTCTTTCTTGTGATAACCATCTTTTTATTTGTTTCATCTTATTTCTTAACAGGCTGGCCTAAAGGTCACAATTTTCAGATTTTCAAGTTAGAGATTGAAAATATATTTTTGATTGATTGGTTTGGTGGGGCTAAACCTCTGACTGTGTATGACTATCTGCATAAAAAAATGTAAGTAGTTTCAACTGCATGGAGAGGATACTGCCGAAGCATATATAGTCCATGTAGTACACTTAATATCAGAATAATCCCATGTGGGTTGTGATTCATTTGTTTTACCATGTACAGGAAGGGGCATGATTTCATCATGTGAAAATTCATGTGGTTTCTATACAACTTATGTGGAGTTGGATGTGAAGGTCAAGTGTCTTAAAGACTTGGAACAAGCTTGAAGAAATTAACCATATTCTGTTGGTGCAGGCACACTAATAGTGTGAATGTGTTTGTAAAGTGTTGAAGTCGCTAAAAGAATTATCCTAGGGAAATAAGTTGATGGCACAAGTTGTAAATTTTTAATTTTACTTTCCCCTTCAGTTCATGCTCAAAAGTTGTACAGTAATTAGTTAAATCTATGAAGTTGAGTTGTGCAATAAGCCACTCTGAAAGAATTTGTGTGAACTTTGTATTTCATTTCTTCAAAACATGGTCAACCTCTTTCTCTAACTCTCAGATGAACAGACGATTGTGTATACATATATTCAACTATTGGGATTTACCAAATAACGATATTGCAGAACTGGTTACTAGTTATCCCAAAGTTCACGGCTCTTCAGGTGGACATAACTAGATAAGACAGGATATTTTTAGAACAGTCGGTCAATTCCTTTTATCATTTTCTCTTTTATATCTTTCACTGCATTTGAATCCTTCTCTGTGTCTCAGTCTCTCTATCTCTCGGCCAATGAGATGTTACTTCATCTGCACTTTCAACACCCCTCCCTTCTTCCTAAAACCCTAACAAACGATATTTACTCGCCATTTCCAATTTCCATTCGTAAAACATTCGCTCTCCCGACACCGAAAACCTCCAAATTCCTTGTCCGGAGCTCTGTTCCAGACCTCCAAATCCTCCCCAAATCAGCCATCCAACGCATTGCTGAAAAGCTCCGCAGTCTCGGCTTCACGGAAGAAACTTCCTCCCAAGCCACAACCGACAAACCCCAACCTCACAAAACCTCTGCAGGAGAAATCTTTGTCCCTTTGCCCAATCGGCTGCCCAATTACAGGGTCGGCCACACAATCGACACCAGCTGGAGCACGCCAGAGAACCCGGTTCCGGAACCAGGCTCGGGTACTGCGATATCCAGGTATCATGAATTAAGGAGCGAGGTGATAAGGGAGAAGCAGTTGTTGAAGAAGGAGGTGAGGGTTCCGACGTTGGCGGAGCTGACATTGCCGGAGGATGAGCTGAGGAGACTGAGGACAATTGGAATCGCGCTGAAGAAGAAGCTGAAGGTTGGGAAAGCAGGGATTACGGAGGGCATTGTGAATGGTATTCATGAGCGGTGGAGAAGGACCGAGGTGGTGAAGATCGTGTGCGAGGACTTATGTAGAATGAACATGAAGAGGACCCATGACTTATTGGAGGTTTGTTCGCTGTTTATATATTGAAACCTTTGTTCGATATCTCTGTGCTACTACTTGATCGCATTGTGGGGTTTTTGATTTAAAGTTAATATTTTGTTATCTAAATTAAGCTTTTTTTAAAAAAGCAAATAAGTGAGCATATGACTAACTGTGATATTCGGATTTGAAATCCAGTGAAATTTTGATGAAGTATAAATGGGAATGTATCTAAGATAGTAGCTTGGTTGCATTCTTAAAGCTTAATAAGAATGCTGAATTTAAAATGGGATAAAAGAGTTGTTGGAAAAACAAAATGAAACCGCATGCCCAAGGTAATCATGCTCAGGGGATGTTGCTGAAATATGACTAGAGGAGAATTTAAGGGAAGTTGGGGATCCTGGTCCAAATATTTACAAAGTTAAAGAACAATCAAATATGTGGAGAATTCTTGACAAAAAATGTATAAGCTTTCTTGAGGTTCAGTCTGTTCCATTTATGGATTCACCCGGCATTATCAATGATGTAGTATGGGTATTTATACAAAAATGGATGTCCAATCCTGTTAGAAAAACTATGCCATAAATCTCTAGGATTACATCTAAAATACTAGTAAAATACTAATCATTCATAGTTATCCCTTTCCTATTATATCCCCCATTAACTATGTGGGTATCATGCATAAATTGGACTCAAATGATTAAACCAGGCAGATGAAAGCCTTTGGTGGATCTGTCAGCCAACTGATATGACTTAGTATGTAACTAACTAGTGATGAGCTAGCTTGAAACCTTTTCTCATAAAAAATGAATATCAAACTCTATGTTTGGACCATGTATGTTGAGCTGGATTAGCTGTCATATAGATAGTGCTAGAAATATCACAATAAATAATGGGATGCTCTTGAGAAGTACAAGGTGATTCACTTAACATGCTCTGAGATCAACGAATATCAGCTATTGCAATCACTACATGACTTTAGCACTTGAACTATAGTTCGTAATTTGCTTTTTCACAATCCACGAAACCATATTTGTAGCAACAAAAAGGAATGTGGTGTAGTCACTCATCTTTTTTTTTGTTAAGGATAGAAAAAGTATCCTAGATAAAGAAAGAGGAGATACATTCTAAAGGAGAATATGCTATCCTCCATAAACTCAAAAGAAGAAAAACATACAATGGAATGAAGAAACCCAAGAATCAGCACAAGATAGCGATCCAATCCCTCTGACAGTCAGAAAAAGGAATCCCTCTAAAGATACCATGTTGCTTAGCCAAAAGAGAAGCAAAGAACACAATCTTGCCCCACAAATCAGTAACATAATTGGAAACAATGATTAAAATTATAATATTTCTCTCTAACCAAAAATTGGAAAAATTTCCCTATATAGTGTGGAATGCTCTTTGCTTCTAAATAAAATGGCAGAGTAGAAATGAAAATCTAGTTTGGGATGGAGGTTGGGGGTGGAACCCAAGCTAGTCTGGAAGAGGGAGAGGTTTTGTCTAAACATTCAAAGCAGTGCAGAAGCAACTGATCGTCATATTCCAAGCAAACTATTTGTTTTAATTTTTTAAAGTGTTGTTGTCTGAAAGGAAACTATCACTTTAGAAGGGACCTAATTCTAGAATCAGGGTTGGAAGAGGGATAAAAAGAATTGAAGAGAGATCAAAGACACCAAGTTCGACGTTTCTCATCAATTGAGGATTCTTAAAAAATTAGAGGTTCTAGGATATATGATTATCATGGAGGGATAAGAAGCAAATAATTGGAAAATTATGTCTAGTAGATAATCTATAAATGCGTCGGAGAAAAGATGCAAGTAGTCTATCCCTACCCATTGATTGTCTCAATAAGAAAGAGAGATTCATTGCCAATCCTAGCCCAGACAAGCGGGTGAAGTGAAACATTAGCCTAACTAATTGCTTTTTAAGGGGCTTTTGTGGAAAATTTAGGAACCCTCTTCATGTCCTAATTATTCTAGTGCAGCATGAACTTGCTTTTACCACACTGTGCCATCAAAAATTAGGTTCCTTTAGTAAATGCCAAACCCAGCAGGCTTGAGCGCAGTCATCTATGAAGGTGATAAACTACTTTTTGCCTGCTAAATCAATGACTCGTGATGCTCACCAAAGGTCACTATGAATGAGGTGAAATGGTTTTGACATTTTATATTCTTCAACAGAGTAATGATTTCTTGTTTGTTTAGCAAGATGCATGATTCACAAAAAATGAGAAAGATCTTTGTGAT